TCGTACGGGTCAGCGTCAATCACCGCCATGCCTGTAAAGTCGGCGGACGCTTTGATCACAGGAAGATTAATGGCATCACCGACTATCTGAGTGTAGTAGTACTGGATGATGGGCTTCGAGACAACGTATGTACCGGGAGGAAAGTAAACCAGAGCGGGAGTGGTGGTAGAGGAATCGCATCCTTTTCCGCACCGGTTCCCGGAAGACATGGCCTGGTTGATCGCCGCAGTATCATCGGTTACTCCGTCACCTAGATTCTTGGTTAGAAAAGTACTGTGGTCTCGGTAGAAGGAGACTACCTTTTGCGCCAAAGTCCTTCACATTGCGGTAAACCTGATAACCCGAGCTCTGGCCGAAAGCCACGGCGCCTTGACGCTTAATATTGGCCACCCAGAAGCTCGACGCAGTATCTCTAGCTAGATTTCCATGCACATCGAGAGAGTCCGGGGTAGGAACTGCATTGACCAGGCCCAGGAAGAGCAGTATCTGCGCCAGCAAGAGCACGATGGGAGTGCGAAGAAAAGCCATCTTCAATTGACTGCGATATGATCACTGAGCCAGCAATGATCGATGCAAGTAGCAAACAAATTTGGTCAGTAACCAGTACTGAGAGTCTTCCCACGCCTTGTTCTTTGGCGCGTAGAAGAGAAACGAATGGAGGGCGTATCAAGGAAAGAAGTGAGACTGCAAGGGAATATTAAAGAATGAAGGGAATAAGGTACAGATGGAAAAAGGAAGGAGAGACAAACACAGCACCACACCACCAGAAGTGAACGAAAGAATAGAAGAGATAGAAAACAGGTGAGAGAGACCAAGTAAGTGTTAATAATTAGGTAGGAAGAGGGACGAGATCAGAATAATTCCTCAGGCCAAACAACAATGAAGCCTGAGTGAAATGTATAGCGATTGTCACTTCTCAAACAAATACCGTCACAATACGGAATTAAAACCAATATGAGTCATTAAACGAGGGAGCAGACCTCGTATTGTTTTGAAATTACCTCTTATAGTTGAGGAGTGAATAACAGCCAATCAGCGGTAGTCATTGGGCAGAAACCCACTGTCGACAACCAATCAGATTCAAAAATGGTGGCTTTGCTGGGCGAGCGTGAAACACTCAGACGGGCCGATGAAACGCTTCAAGCAGCAGAAGTCGGTGATGGACTGAATGATAAACCCTTTGAGGATAGTCCTCCTGGTCTATAAATATTAGCGCTCATTTGATGAAATTAAAGGAAGAATAAGCGTTGACGGATGTGTTCCATGATCGGGAAATTGGAGATACTAACCTCGAATTAGGTACCTTAGCGATTCGAACGAGTTGCAAGGGAGTGAAGGTAGTCTTGGAAAGGAGAGGTCTCGAACTCGCGAGAAAGGGAGCAGGGAGATAGGTACTTGCAAGCACAAGAGGAGAGAGAGGCAGAAGAGGAAGAAGAAGAAAGCTCCTAGAGCAAAGCAATAGATCTGTCCAGTAGCCTATATACCGTACGCAAATTCTAGGGCCTAGACAACATACCTCGAAATTGTCCGGGACGACACGACCTACATACTGTCTACGCACAAATTGAAGACTCAAATTCCTTCATCCCGGTTCTGGACTTCAGTCTCACTTGTCCATGCGGCAACCTCGCAACGGTCTTGGCCTGGAATCGTTAGGCCGACAGCGCCTGAGATAGAAGCGCGTGGACATTCCATGCTCGACATATTTCCTGTTTTGTCGCTGAGGACTCAACGATCTGCCCGCTGATTCGTGTACCTGGCATCTGCACGTAGAATGACAAGAATCCTCACATAGCAGTCGAGGCCAATGGCGCGTGCGGTGCGGTCTCGACGCGCAGGTCAACGGCCCAGAGATCCACTTGGTCGTCAGGAGGATCAACTAGGTACTCCGTACTTGACTCGACATTCTTGACGCGCGACCGGCACGTAGTTACGTCGTTGCTTGAGACACAATTCATAATACGTCAGCAAGAGGGAAAGTTTAATCACGCTATCATGGTTGAGTCGGTTTCTTCACAGTCTGGCTGCCATCGTAAGAAATATCTGCACTGTATATGCGGATAAAACACGGGACTACAGGCTACGCAGAACAAACTGCATCCACGGCACGTGGGTCCACGGCGTTTATCCAGGCCAGGGGCAAAGTATGTCTGTCGTGCTGCCTTGGCAACTCTGCAACGATCGATATAGGAATAGTGAGATAATTGCTATATGCGAGCAGCGAGACCTGCATACTCCCTAAATAGTAGTCACTAATACAAAACTTGATCAAGGACGGATGCGAAATCCATCGTATCCAAGAGGCCGACTCCCTCAAAATCATAAAACAAGGACACGTCTAGATCATCGACAGAATCTACAGCAGAGGTTTCAGTTGTAGTCATCACTTCGGGCGCGAGAATTTCGTCCATGATGCGAGAGAAGACTCGAGTCGCTCGGCTGAAAAATGCATTGTTGGCGGTGCCTGGCCCGGCCATTGACTCGAGATGCGAGATAAAGACGCTGAGGTGCCGAACGAGGATGCCTCGAGGATAGAGGCTCGGTAACTGGTTTGCACTGGCGTGCATTTGGAGCGCTCTGAGTAAAACACTCGCGCTGGGAAAGCCGTAGAGGAGAAGCTGCAACTGGTTAGTCGCGTCTTTCGTGCAAGGCAGTACTTGGGGGAATCGCTTACTGTCCAGATAAAGTCGCGATGGATATCAACAGCCCATTCCTGTTGTCTGCCAAAGGTCAAGACCGTCGAGAGGATGGTCGAACTGACGTCGACTAACGCAGCGCTGTATTCTGTGCTGTTGAGAGTTAACAGCCGCTGCACTAGATACTCATTGTAGAGAAACGCCAGGTATGAGACAATGAGCATGACCTTGACACTGATTGGTTGATGAGTGTTCCAGCAGTCCTCTGTATAGTGAAGATGACTAGGTACCGAATCCCAGGCCTGGCGGCTACGGCGGGAGACGTCTCTTTGTTTCGCCATTAACCTTCAGCTTCAGGTCATGGGGAATCAAGCTCACCTCAGTTGCTCTTCTCGATTCTCGCTGGACTTTGTCAGGGACAACTCCAGGATTTCCTCCCGGAACGTGCTGATGAGGAAGCGCAGTCGGATCCAGGCTGAACGTTGGTAGACAGCATGACAACTCCACCCTTCCGCCGTCACTGATCTTTGCGCAAGCTCTCTACTCCCAGTGAGAGCCTCATCACTGATATCAAGAGGTAGACGGCAATCAGAATGCCTCCGCGAGATCCGGGGCGGTCGGCCCAAGAAGGTGGCAATGCTCTTGTCCAATTGATAGACAGCGGCGAATAGCCTACGTCTAGACTCCAGCAGAAAGTCCGGAAGATCAGTGCGTTCATCCGAATCCTGGTGCAAACCAAGCTCGAAAATGCATGTCGCGAGTTCGCCTAGCCGATGCCAGGTCACTGAGCCTTTCAACTCGTCAGTCTTCTGCCTTCTTCAAGATTGACAAGTACAACTCACTCGAGTGGCCGAGGACCAGCGTGGACAAGAGAAGGTTTTCATGGAGTAGCCAGAGCGTAAGGTCATTCACAGGCGATAGATATCTGCACGTTTCAAGTGCGGTGTCGCTCGCCGCGAGCATCCTGCGCGCAAAGCGTGAGGACAGGAGCTTGTTCTTCGGCCGCCCCAGTCCGAATTGACTCGCTCGACCTGCCAGAGCATAAACAAAACCAAGTATCTCCAAACGCAGACAAGAACCTGTGTAGAGCCTGTGGAAGTGCGCTCCGTCCACCGTAGGCGGGACATTAAATTTCCGTCTGGTGTTGTCAAGGACGGTTTCAACCAACGCCGGAATCTCTGTCTCCCCTTGATCCAGCTGGTACGCATGGTAGTTATCCTGCATCTGGGACAGTGCATTCAGGACGAAAGGTGCTGCAATCACAACAGCCTGACTGACACCATAGAATTCCAGTATTAGTTGCTTAAGAGTAGGAAATTCCACAAGATGGCTGACGACCTCGGTAGCTCTCTTCACCCACCAGGCTGGAACAGACGACGCCGCAGAACTTTCATCATCAGCAGTGACTAGCTCATTCGCACCGTCTCCTTCGCCCAGAACAGAAACAAAACTAGTCGGTCCCAAGTATCCCGCTGACAGCAAGTGGTCTGACCTCGAGCCCGAAGACGACAAAGCCTCAGGTGACCCACGGAGTTCGGCTTGGGACGTTGTAGAAGCATACTGATCCACAATGAACCCCCGACTCCGCCTCGTAGCCCGTGTCAGAGGGGCAGGATGATAAAAGCACCGACTGGTGCTGCCGCGCCGCAGGCAGCGGGAACAGACAGGATGCCCATGATCACACCGGACTTTGTCTTTGCGACATGGCTCGCAGGAGGCGGGCTTTCCATTCCGGCGGCGTGAGGTCCTGGAAGGGTCAATATATATATTTCTTGTACTTAAAATGTGCAACTCACATAACAGCAGGCGTCTACTTCCTTGCTCGAGTACTTTGGCTCGAGAGAGGTCGGATATTTCCTCGGGATCCCTGAATGATGCATCATTTCAACTTGAGGCATCTTCTGGTTGTAGTTCAGCAGTAGTTTCGGCGTTCGGCGTTGGGGAGGACAATCCCTGTCGACATTACGCCGTATCGCAGTGATCTAGTCATGTGACCATTCCTCATTACTTGTACATCAGGTGATCTACCTCGGTTCATTGTAGGGTTTAGGGTTAGTCAAGCTTAAGGTACCCAACCCACAAACACAAAAGATTTCCGCTTAAAATTTCCTTCTCAGAATTTTCCTACTGTGACTAGCCAGCTCTCCTGCGTTCTGTTCACCGTCCAACTTCAAATCATCGAAGTCTCAATAAGCTCTCAGTTTCCGGTTACCTAGTTCTCATTGAAGTCTCACTACCTTTCAGTCTCCGCTTCCTCTGCAAGTTAGTGTTCCGAGACTTGGTGGACCTAGCTTATTTCTGACCAATCTGCAAGCTGTGTGGGACACTGCAACTCCGCGAGTATCCGTAACTCCACCAATCACCATGGATCCTCTAGAGCCGCAGGAATCCCCTTCCGCAGACAATACGGGCAAATCAGAGCCTGTTGTTTTGAGATCCGCGACACCGTCGGAAAGCAGTCCGTCGAAGCCCCTACCAGACGCCGAAGCCGTGGTTCTCCCTGAATGGCAGGGAAACCAGGCTGTAGCATCCTGGTTTTTACAGTTTCAGAAGTGTTTAAAGAGTATCATCTATAGGTATTGCGGAGCCATACAGAAAGCTTTACTTATTTTCGAAGAAAACGACGCTACTAGCTATGTCCATTACGAATCGCTTAGTCGGTTCCTTCGAGAGCTCTGGGTTCGATGGAAGGAGTTCAGTGACACGAAGAGCATCACTACTACGTTTCTCTCGTCGTCAGTGATCTATGATGACTTCTTGCAGCCTATTTCCTGGATGACGACCCCCCGCAACGCAGCTAGAAGGTTTGCGGAGGAGATGGCCCAGCTCCGTAACACCATGAGAGAGGTTGCTAGTGAACTGTTCGTGAACCGAACGTTAATCCAAGATGCTATGGCGCGTCTGGAAGAAACGAATAATGGTCATCACGTAGCCCCTTTCTGTGGGTTGCCTACTCCGGATGAGAGCGACGATGCCGCAGAGAAGCTGGAGAAGTTTTTGCTCACCGATCCAGACCATGAGAGCCTCCCATCCGAAGATGAAGATACAGATACAGACGAGGTGCCGGTGATCTACAGCCGGGAGATGAAAGACCCAAACCTTCTCGAAGAAAATTGGCTGGACCCCATCTGGGTAGAAGGATATGGTTACCCCGGAACGGTTCCTCGCGAAATCGAGGAGTATCTAGAGTTTGACTGTGCTGGTAAGTACCACCTTGCCTTGCCATATCTGGGGTTTTACCCTATAGCGATCATTCTGACTGAGTTAAACAGATCTTTACTCCATGATTGGCTCCATCAGGAGCATCTTCTGGCTGTTCAATCACAGAGAGTTGGTGAAGGTCATCGATGATCCTGCCTGTATTCTGGAGGACGAGATCGTCGCAATCCCGCGCAACATAAATCCCATGGGATTTTTAATGAATTACTATTCCGAGCTAGTCGTTCCATGTCGCACCAGCGTTTCATATCCCCGACGCAGTCACATCAGAACCTTCCCGACTTTGTATTGCCGATATGTACCGCTTCAGCCGCCGCCAAGCCTTTCCAGAGACCGTGCTGTGTCTGAAGATCAAATGCCAAAAGAACAAGGACAGGACGCTGGCTCAAGTCAAGAAGAAACTGGATGAAACCTGCAACATTGATGGCGATAAACTTTGGTTTCGGGGTTTGAGTATGGTTGCCCTTACATTATCGATGAGTTTCTTCATTCCAGTCATCAGCACCGGGAGTCCCGACAATGAGTTTGGACCAGGCATTTATACTACAAACACTTTCAGATTGGCGGTCGAATATGCTCGGCCAAGCGGTGCGGTGATGGTATTTAAGGATCCCGACCTCCGGGATCTCAACGTCTGGAAGCCAGACCTCTCCGAGTGGCAACATCTCACCGCGCATTGGCTCCAGATCCCAATTAATGGTCTCAAAGCCCCAGACAACTACAAAGATGCGGACATAATTATCGGGCCGCTTTCAGTGAAACAGTCTGAAGCAAAGGCTAAGAAACGTTTTCCAGACCAAGGTGAACAGCTACAACTTGTTTGTACCAGCTACGAGAGTTGCAAACGTCTTGCTGCATCATTGGCAGCAATAATCTACTTCACTCCGTAGGTTCGACCTTGACGCTGGGAATGCTGCATGGAAATCGGTCTTGAATATTATGAGGTTACGACTTGTCCTGATGGTGAAAGGCTCATGTCTTTGTTCTGCGAAACGATTTTTTACGAGCCGGGAATGTTGAATTAGAATACTTTGCTCATCGGCGCTGTCTTGGGTTACCTTCGCAAATAGCTTAATGGAGGTTTTCTGTCTAATATCAACGGCACTAATCTTACCAAAGAACTGGTGGAACTTTCATCAATAAATTTCTGTAGACTGCGCAGGAGCATGCAGAGGTGAAATTGGCAAATATTACAGTTGTATGTTGCTGGGTGATTCTCGGTGGTCCGAGGCGTAGTTATATATTCCTGTCTTCGACATGGTGTTGGCCATGAATCTCTATAGCATAGATGATTGTCTTATGGCTAGAGGTTCTAAGAGTGGATGGAAGGTGGACAAGGTGAACAATTAAGGATTTTTTATGACCAGAGAGGATAGATATGGTATGCATGCGGGCCGATCCGCTTTGAACCATGGTCACTACCAGAGAAGGACAGTGGCACAGTCACTGCAACCACTCAAACTACGTAGAAATGGCTGCGGGTCCAACTAAAGCATCATGGATGACGCATCCTAGTCGTCGCACTCCTTCAGCGAGTTGACCCTCCTCAGACCAAGCAAAACAAAGGCGCAGGAAATCATGAAAGTCGTTGCCTGGGTCCACCGAGTCCCCGGGGACCTGGAAAATCTCACCAGCAGCCACCCTGAGATTCTGCTTCTCCTGAGCCAGTTGCACGAGATCACCTGCGCGTAACGGACTCGGAAGACGCACCCAGATAAAGTATCCGCCGACGACTTCCGAAGAGTAGGGCAGTACTACCCCCAGAGGGAGGAGGTGTTTGCGGATAGCCGACATCATGACATGGTACCTGCGCGCATAGGCGGGCTGCAAGACCTCAGTTAGATGAGACTGAAAGGCCCCATTGGCGAGCAACTGGGCAATTATCGCGGAGGCCATTTGGGACGGGGCCCCTCCGGAGCGCGATGAACCTCTGCCAGTCATCAGCTCATACAGTTCCGGTCAAAGTCTAGTGTACGAGGAGATACGTTTGAGAAAGACCGTAGGCAAACTTGGCCGTGCCTTCTGCCCATCCGGTCCGCATGCCAGGGCCGATCAACTTGCTGAAGCTCCCGTTACTGATGACGTTTCCCCATTCATCCTGGGGCCCTCCGTCCAGGTAGCGATCAATGTCTACCAGCCGAGGCACGCGTGCCTTGTCAGGAGCAGCAAGGGGGCGGTCTGGATCCACGGACCACTGGAGGAAATCGTAGACGTCATCTGTCACGATCAAGGCATCGAACTCGCGCGCGAGCTGGACCAGTTTCTCCCGATCGGACAGGGACATGGTCCGCGTGGTGGGATTGGAGAATGTCGGCGTGGCATAGATGAGGTGTTTGTAGATCTTCCCCCATGGCCTTGGAGGTTTATGTTTCTTTACAGATCAGTTGGTGGGTGGAAGAGAGAGAGATATCTGATACACAGTCAGTGTCTACCGTACCGGTTCGAATCTCTGCTCTTCATTAGCTTTCCGCTCGGCGGCCTCCATCTCCCGACGGAGATACGCAAGATCAAGCCCCGCGTCATCCTGCGGAACGGCTCTGATACGACCCGCGAAGCCGGCATCGTCTACCATCCGAGACGCCAGGTGATATGCAGGCGCTACCATCCAGACATGTCTGGTGTAACTTGGATCGGTGAAGACTTGGAAGATACATGCCAGATTCTGGCTGGCACCGCCAGTAATGCAGATCCGATCGAAACCAACCGGATCGCGTGGTTTGTAAAAGTGGGTAAGCCATTCAGCAACACACTTTCGCAAGGGCAGATAGCCATCATCAGGACCGTACAGCAGGGCTGGGGTCCAGATGGACGGCGTGGACAGGACGGTGGCGGATGCTTGGGCCAAGGCGGTGGTGGGCAACAGGGCAGGGTTAGGCCAGCCTCTGAAGAGATCGATCGGCTCTTCGGGGGGAACAAAACCCATGTCGAGTTGTCGACAGTTGTCACTTGCCACTTGCCACTTGCCAGTATGTGTACGGAGTAGATAACGTTAACCATGTATTGGTGACGACTCGGTTTCAGTCGATGCTTTGGTGCTGCCGTTGAAATTTCACTGTGGAAGGACAAGGACACGTCAGTCCGGTGACGTTGGCCGCCGCCATTTGAAATGACCGAGTGTCTGAGACAGAGGAATACGCATGCTTCTTTTCTCCTTTCCTTTAGTGTCTGTGCTGATTTGGATAGCTTATGACCAAGTACGTTCAAATATGAGCAAACGTGAGACTAGTGAGGAACTATCTCCATTAACCTACTCCTGTTATTGTGGTGGATTGGCAGTTGAAACACCACACAAAAAAACATCCGAATGACTTGCACAGTTTGGGTGTGGGGGATTACCGTACTGTACCTTACCACGGCCGACGAACTGTTACCGATTCCGGTCGGGGTTTGCAAGCATTTTTCTGGCACTGCGGATACCAGCCATGGCTGGGCATCAGTGTAGGAATGCTCCGTTAACTGATTATGATGGATAATAAAACATATCAAATCAAATCAAACCAAACCAAACCAAACAAACAAGACCAACTAGGGTACTTACAATCCTACAAAACACAAGTAGCATATGCCTGTTCAGTTCACTGGCAATGACCACTGGCGCCAGCAAATTCCCACAAGTGAGGTACCTTACGGACTTCCAAAGCCAAGCACAACAGGCCGGCAGGTGATGTTTCTATTCTTAGCAGAACACCTTAATACTCCATGAGGATACCCGTCTTCCTTGCTGCTTCTAGGCAAATATCTAGCGTCGACTGCCCCTGAGCCTCACCAAGGCTACCATATTTTATCTCAGCATCCCTAAGAAAGTGAGCAGAGAATACGTAAATGTGGAAGACTATACGAAGACCAATAACTCGTAGAGGCAAGGTGTAAACGCCTCAGTGATGAGTGTACTTCGTAGGCTTGGCTAAAATCATACGAGGCGGAGTCCTAAGCACACATTGGCATTCCAGCCAAAAATGTCGATTTACTTGATTATGTGGGTTTGTCTCTCGCTGACATTTTTTTCCAGGAGAAATCTGGTAAACAGCATATCCGTGTCAAAATGCTAAATAAATTGCAAACAGTTTACCCCTGGCGGATGGCATCATCATCATCGACCGCCTAGGTGACTGTATGGTTCATACTTCCATTAGACACGGCACAGTGTGCATTTTCCACAGTGCTCGTATAGACCAAAAGCATAGAGCACGCCTTTTGACGGACAGATAGAAAATGACCAGCTTTACTGACCATGATCAAATCAATGTTGGAGATATTTCTCAGCCATGCTCAAGTATTTCAGAAGACAGACAGGATCAGATGAGATGAGATCGGAGTCGTCTGGTGATCCTGAGGGCTGTACAGTGTACTCGGCACAGCTCATCAGGAGGCGGAGGCACCAACATAAATCACATTGACTGTTCAAAAAATGGTCGTTGTCGATATCCCACTGTTTTCAGACACAGCCTCTCCTGATCTCCATCAAAACTATCCATTACTAGACATGTTAGTCAATCATAATTCCCGTAGAGCCGAGAAACCAAGAGATTCCCCACCCGCAGTCACTAACTAACTAGAGCTAAAGACCTGCAGTAGTCCAGTACAGCCCATGATCCATCATAGAAAAGATTATTAAGTAGAAAAAAAAGAAGTAGATGAAAGAAAAAGAAAATAATATTTTTGACAGCTTAAAATAATGATGAACTCTTTGGATCCGAAGCTCAAGGATCTCAAAAAGAATGAGAAATCAAAATCATTTCCTCTCCCCTCCTCTCGACTCACTCGCTGCTGCTGTACAACCTTCGCGAGCGTCAAGTCAATAATCAATGCTCTCCATACTCCACTATATACCAGCTTAGTGCCATACATTCGTCATATCACTCCTTGGACTTCCGAAAAACTCGAGCAGAACCAAGGTACTACTCGGATTGATCAGAGCCTTGGCCAAGGCAAGTAACAGGTAAGTCTAAGTACTGATCATTCCTCCTCTGATCCCCTCCTGCCGATCACATTCCCCAAGACACACGCGCCAGAGACAGCCACTCTCTCTGTCGCTCTCCTCCTATACCTGACTCGTTCTTCGTTTCTTCCACTTTCCTAAACCGTCCTTTTGTATGCTTTAGTCCATTCTTTTCACATGGTTCGCGATTGAGTCTTACCTCATCTTTCTGTTGTGTCTTGCCTTCTTTTTTTTTTTTTTTTTTTCGGTGGTGATTGTCTTTCGAAGTACATCCACTCCCCCGCTGCCATCGATTCTCGAACTTACCAATTGCTTTATTTTGTACAGCGAACCCCTAAGATGTTGTCAGCTCCTGTAAGATCGGCCAAGCGCATATCGTCGCTCTTTTCATTGGGGTCAAACAAAGATGGTTCTCTCTCCTCATCACCAAACTCTCCGAGCTTCCCGAAGCACTCTCCCGACCAATACCCCCAGGATGCACAGCAACGCCCGCGGAGCAGCTCCCGCCCCGCGCGATTAGTATCCAATCCTCAGTCCGACTATTCAGATACCCGGAGCATCAGAACGACAGGCCCCATCGATCAATTCGACTTGGATGAGCCTCTGCCTCCGCCCCCATCACTCCTGGCCGTGAACCAGGATCTTGCCAATAGTGCCAACAATCCTCCCGATGGCAGACCGCAGAGCAGAGGCAGACCCTCCAGCGCTGGGGGATTATTTGTTCCCGGAACTGGACCAGATTCGCGCCCGGGGACCCCTTCAAAACGACGGAGCTGGATCCCGGGACGAGCGCGAGCGAGCTCTGTAGATGCGAGACCTCAGAATACAAACACTCATATGCCGAGCGCTTGGATCGCCGGGTTGGATCAGAAGATCCTATATGATGTGGGCCCTTTGATCCGGGGTGAACAGGTATGCCGCTTTGTCTGTTCCTACTCTTCGTCCACGAGACTTGGGCTCAAGTCCACTAACTTATACGTGCTACCATAGGTTCCGGAATTGTGGAATGAAAGTGGTGACACTTATGTCTACCTGTTCCCCCAAAACACTGGACGGTCACCCTCGTTCAAAGTCCATTCAACCATTTTCGCTGAATCACCGTCCCTCACATTCCTTGCCCGGGGCACAGACCCGAACAGAGTGAACGCTTTGGAGCAACAAGCGCGCTCCATGTCATTGAGTAGTCCTATGACAAGTCCCGCTTCACCTCCTCTGACTCCTCAGGACGGATACGCCGACAATGATAATGACAGTACCGGCAGTAGGCGGATGGCCTTCGTGGATGATGAGGGATTGGACGAGTTCCAAGAGCTTCATCTATACCTTCCAATACCGCTGAACAGCGATGTGTCCAGCGCCGACAGTCGAATCTCGCCAGAGGACACCGAGACACTCATCTTATTCCGCAATCTCTTCGCCTTCCTCCTTGGCCAATCCCTGATCGCTACTCCCCGGTCACCCACGCTCTTCTCGATCTTCATGGATGTGGCCAGTCTACTGTCTCGCTTCGAGTTCAGCAACTTTGATGGAACGAATTTCGGCGAAACGGCCACCAGCAGCTTCAGCAACTACTGCGACGAACTGCAACTTGACGATGTCCGGAAAAGCCGAGAAAAGACCATTGAGGCCATCGTGCTGGGAGAACGTCTGCGCTTCTTCCCCCTGTATCTCGAGGGCTTCGTCCACGGTGTCGGTAAGCTGGACGAGCTGAAGCAGCTGCGGAGTCCCAAGTTCAGTCTCATCAGCCCCGTCACACAAAAACGGATGGAACGTGGCTTTATCGACCTGGATACGCGCCTTCGAGTCTTGCATAGCAAATTGAACGAGTTTGATTTCCCTTCGGTGTTCTCCGGAGTGGCCAACTCGACCACGTCCGCGGAAAGCAAGGTCGTGCGATTCAAGCTGTGGAAGGCCGCATTTATGGAGTTCAGACGGTTTACCGTGCACTACTACCGACAGAAGTACGGCTCATGGCCACCAAAGGCCCGGTCGAAGAAGAATCAATTCGAAGAGAGCGGCCTCAACCGCCAGGTCTTGAAGGACCTGTACGACGACTTTGCCAATCTGTACGACATGTTGGTCGATCGGACCGCCCTGACCACCCGAACCGTCGATATGGCGGCCCTTGAGACGGTCGGGTCCGAAGACACGCAGGAAGTCATGATCCGTGCCCTCCGCCAGGTGTTGAGTGAGTACGACCGGGCCACGCCGCCGGTTCAGCCACCCATCCCATTCGACGTTCCCCAGTTCCCGTCATTAGACTCGCTGCAGCTGAAGGCTGTGGACCCCAAGAAGGAGGCCAAGCGAAGGGCCAAGAAATTGAAAGACTCGGACATCAATGCCGTGCTCATGGGCTCATACACGCGGGAGAGTATGCGGCCAACCCCGTTCATCGAAGCGTTTATGCAGTTCGAACGGCGCTGTGCGCACGGCAAGAATGTTGAAGATCTCATCGATCTCCGCTGCGGCCAGTGGATCTTCCTCTACTGTGTGATCCAAGCTCTACCGTTGCTCGTTGTGGATGTGCAGGATGTCAAGTACACCGAAGGCGTGGAGTATCTTCTGTGCATCGCACCCCGCGGTGGTGCACCCTGGATCCACAACGATGGCAAGACAGCACGTAGCTGGTTTGGTGTTGCCGGCGGAGCTGGGGTGGTCAGCCTTCCTTCGGACGTCGTGGTCAACGGCGTCGAGGGTATCTACCGCCGCAGTCATTGCTGGCAGGTGGCGGAGCAATGGGCAGAGAAGGACGCCATTTTGGGACCTCCGACCATCGATGACCCCTATGACAACGAATCCTCGCTATCTTCGCCCTACCCGGGACAGCCATCGTCGGGCGGTTCGTCCACTGAGCAACCCCAGCAATCGGCACAACTCCTGAGTCCCAACGGTCTCACTCCACCACCGCCTCCGGTGATTCCTCGCACCAGCTCACCCGCAGCGCGAGCTCGAACCGAGCATCGCCATTCCATCTATCCAGGTCT